GGGCGGAGGCGGAGGCCCGCGCGGCCCCCTTGGGCAGCGGCCTCACCTTGTTGCTTCCTTTCAGCCCGAGCTTTCCTGCTAGGGAGGCTCCCCGAGAGGTTTTGGAGTTGGAATTTGACAGGCTTTTTCCAAAGGAAGATGGCAGGGTGTTTCCCACCCTGGAGCGGCCCTTGGGGAGCAGGGCAGCACTGCACCCCGTTTTTCCAGGTCCCAGCCCTCACCCCACTCCCCCATCCTAACACCCAGCCTTCAGGGGCTGGCTCCTCTGGGGCACCGGCTAAGTTCCTGGGCTGGCAACTCGCTGCGCAGGGAGCTAGAAGGTTCTAGAAATCTAGAACCTTCTAGAAGGTTCCTGCCCCCCTCCTTCTTCTCCCCCCCCCACAAGTCCCTGAGTACCCTGTGTGCTTGGTCTCCAGACCAGGGCAGGAGTGCTGTTCTTCATCAAGCACTGTGCTGGGCCCCCCCCCCCCCAACAGTCCGCTGGGTTCACCCCATTTCATGGCTAGGAAGTGGGAGAGTTGCCAGTCTACCTGGGCTGGCGAACCCCAATTCTCAAGGCCCAGCCTAGTGGGGGGAACACTGTGGAGCTGCGGGCGGGAGGAGCGGGGCCAACTGGAAAGGAACAGCGGGGACGAGCTTTTCACCTCCCGGGCCTGTCCCGGGCGCCTCCCATCCGATGGCACCAGAAGCTCTTGGTGCTTTTCCTTTAAAAACATGTTTTAAGAAATCCTTGCCCGAGGATATTTTCCCCATTGATTTTTAGAGAGAGTGGGGGAGAGAGGGAGAGACAGAAATATCGATGTGAGAGACACACCAGTTGGTTGCCTCCTGCATGCCCCTGACCAGGGCGGGGTCGGGGAGGAGCCTGCAACCTGAGGTTCGTGCCCTTGACCAGAATCGAACCCGGGACCCTTTGGTCCATAGGCTGACGCTCTAGCCACTGAGCCGAACTGGTGAGGGCTGGGCTTTTCCTGTTTACAGCCAGCGCTGACCACTTGTCCGCCTCCCACAGGTGAGGGAACTTTTTGAACGAAGGATCCTTTTACTTATTTGCATTCTCATGGCCACTTTGTGAGTTCTGGTCAGGACAGCCTGTGGGCCCGCCGTGCCCCCGCCATCTGCCTGCCTCCTCCTCTCCCATTTCTCCGTAGCCGGCGGCCTGCACCCTGGCTGCACGCCCATTACTGTAATGGCCCTTCTGGAAGCCGGCCCTGGGCTGGCAGCGGGACTCGCTCCTCTCCACCCCGGGCTTCGCCCCCGGCACTCAGAGGCACTCAGCGTGATGGGCTCTAACCGGAAGGAGCCTCATGGAGTCCCACCCAGCCACGCCCTCTGGTAAACAACAGAAGCTCTGGGGGCAATTAATGCAGCTGCCCTGCCCCCCTCTCTCTCAGCAGAGCTGCCTGAGTCTGCGCGTCTCACAGCAGCGTGGGGTCTGGGGACCGTAGGTCACTGGTCTGCTATCAGACCATTCTCTCCTTTTTAAAAACATATATTTTTATTGATTTCAGAGAGGAAGGGAGAGGGAGAGAGAGATAGGAACATCAGTGATGAGAAAGAATCAGGATTGGCTGCCTCCTGCCGATCAATCCCGCAACCCGGGCATGTGCCCTGATCGGGAATCAAACTCTGACCTCCTGGTTCATAGTCGCTCAACCACCGAGCCACACAGGCCGGGCTAAGAACATTCACTTCACATGCGCACACAGATGGGAGCTGGAGACAGTTCCTGTTTTCGCTTTGGCAGGACATGGGCTTCCCAGAGGCCCATCAACTACAAAAGCTATCTGGGCTCGGATCGGGCTCCGATCGGCTGAGACCCCATGCGCTGTTTTCCGCTTCACAGCCCCCTCTCTGAGTGTTGCTGGCAGAAGGCCTGGCTGTGCTATTTTGATAAGTTCTGAGGACCTGCCCTACATTCTGGGTCCCCAAGCACTGGCCTCCAGGCAGGGAGGGGAGTGGGGACTCTGGAGGGAGAGGCAGTCATGTGTCCGCTGGATTGCATTAATGGCTCATCAAATGAGACGACCTGGGAGCACAGGGTGGAGGAGAAGATTAAAACTCCCGTTTCCTAATGGGACAGGAGGGAGATGCTGAAAGCAGGCAGGGTGAAAGGTGGCAGACCCAGGTTGTTTGTTGATCCCTGACCTTTCTTCTCCCACCATCTGTGGTTGCTCCAGCTGGAGGTGCCTGGGATCAGAACTCCACTCAAATGCTGGCTCCTTTAGGGTGACTAAGGGAATCTACCTATTA